AACATTCAGGGACTTATTCGACTGGTGCTATGTGTTAGTCTAGCCACCCTGAACCCTTTTACGACCTAATCTGACTCCCCTAGCATGGCACGTAGAGGTAGGCAGTGGCTTGGCGTGCGCAACACATGTTCAAGCCATCTCAGTCGACTAAGGTTCACAACCTTATCAACTGACTTGCCTTCGTCTGACCTCAACATTGCTCATACGGTCATTCCACCACACACGAGCGATGCTATAAAGACACCTATGATCAAAACCCTACATTCGCTTCATGTCGTCTACTTTTAACGACCATGTCTCAGCTTATTTGCTGTATCCAGTTATCAGACATTCGGATACACAGCTGCACTAAGGCTTATTTCAAACCTATTTACATAAGTTTTATATGGTATACAATATACATAAACTGAGACTTTCATCATAGGCTTAGTTGACGACTCAAAAAAGGTTGTTTTTCTCACATTTTCGCCCGTGCAATCAGGATAACAGATACTGTCAAAAATGATTATCATTGTATTCGCAAGTTAATCGAAGTGTTCTTCAGAAAGTTACCTTATTTAAACCCCATTTTCTAACTTTACCTTAACACTTACTTTCAGTCTTCATATGTTGCAAAAAAAGTTAACATGATGTTGACAGTAACACTTCAAGTTACTGGATCATGAATTAGATTACAGTGGACCTGGCTAACTTATACATGGTTTTGACGACCAGAAATTATAAAAACCGAAAAACTAATCGAAACCTAATAACAATGAACACATGTATTAGTTTCAAGTTGTTATTCATCAAAGACTGACATCAGTTGGAGGAACAAAGGAAACCTGGGAGCACTGGACAGCTGTTTCGTCCTAGTATGGGACTCCTCAGTAGTGCGCAACCACGACCCCACCAGGGATCGAACCGCGACCTTCAGGTCCCGCGGCCAGCGAGTTACCATTGAGCCACTGGGTCAGAATCCAATGCTCCATATTTCCAACTTCTGTTAGCTCACGATATAGTGCTCCCAGGTTTCCTTTATTCCTCCAACTGAAGTCAGTCTACGATGAATAACAACTTGAAATATTTCCAAACCTCCACAACTCCCTTAAAACATGTCTTAATTATTGTCTTTTTACCTATCCACTATACACTGATCATCCTTTCAGCAATTGTATTCATGAATGTTTAGTCTTATAATGGAAATGTCACCGGTAAACAACAGGAATTGCTTTCGGCGAAACGACTCTTAGAAGGTGTACAACTGAATTCCAGTGACTGAATAGTGTGCACCTGCGATATTTACGACAGCGATTTTGGTTTACTGAGTACACCAGTGCTTCAATCAGCACTTATACTCGGTGATGATTGAAGGTGAAATGAAAATTTTGACCGCGGCCGGATTCAAACAGAGTTTCTGGCCTGATGCTCTACCAGCTGATTCGAATCCGGATGCGGTCCAAATTTTCATTTCACTCATCACCCAGTATAAATACCAGTCTGCCGAACTACGGCTATCTCAGATAGTCAGATGATACGCTTTAATCATTATCATTCCCCATCCACCTTCATGATGGAAATCGAATCGTATTCAATGATACTTTTTCTTGATGTGTTATTAACAAGAATCCAGGATGGATCGCTTGAAAGATTCACCTATCGAAAACTAACTTGGAATGAAGAATTGAAAAATTTCTACAGTTGCGTTTCCTCTAACTGAGAAATGAATTTAATCTATTCTCTTCGAATTCAAACCCGGAAATTTGGCCCATCTCACATACAAAAAAAAGAACCGGAGATCCTAAGGTCAATATTCATCAAAAATGAATGTGCGAAATGTTTTTTCGATACAAAATTCACTAGAAGGGCATCCCTGAACCATAAACCAGGGTCAATAAAAAAATAAATTACTTTTGAGTCTGAAATTCAATGGTGATAAAACAGAAAATATTCTGAAATGTAGATGTATGCGACTCTTTAAGAGGATATCCAATGAAGGAAATGGGCTCATGGATTTAAGGAGTTGAATTTTAACTAGTAGCTCACCGGATCCAGCCCCGCTCTGTTTACCGAGGTTTGGGCAGTCAGGTAGTATCATTCGTTTTCGCGCAAAATGTGTGGCTCATTTTATACCACATAAATGTCCAAAAGCTTGCTGAGTGCATTTTGATTCGTTTTGACATTCCGTGCAACGACTATTAAAATCACCTATAGTAGCCGTCCAGTGGAGAACACATATGCGAAGGAAAAACTCCCACTGATGACTGGCTCTATCGAGCCACATATATAGGCTGTACCTACCTAGGCAGCATCGTTTCAACTACAGGAGGCACACACACAGATGACGTCAAAAACAGGATCGAAAGACAACAAGACAGGCATTCCTGCACTAATCTAAATTGATCAGTGTGGAGATCTACTGCATTGCACTGCGCTGCATAGAACTCACTCCACTCAGCATAAAGCGTGAACAGTATCCGGATTTCAAACACTAATTCTTCAGTCGAGTAAGTCAGTGCTTCTATGTGATGATGGTTGGGAGACTTGTCGTGTCACAAAAAGCATTTCCAACAAACTGCAGACATTCATCTCGATACTGAGACTGACACTGAAGATCAGATGACCAGAATAATAAGAATAAGCAAGAAGGAGGTCACTCTGACTGGCTGACTGACTAGCAATGAATGAACGAACCAACCAACCAACCAAGAACCTATCACCCATCAAATATGCAGGAGAAAGTGGAGGTGGATTGGGCTGGATATACACTGGGGAAACCGATTGAGGACATCACACTCCAGGTCAGACTGTCGAGTGGAACGCGAATGGGAGATGACGAGTTGGGCGCCTGAAGCGAGGTGAGGTGATGTGGGGTGAGGCGAGAGTGACATGGAGGAGATGGTGTGAGTAAGAAATGAAGGGTTGTGGTCAGTCATGGAGCCAGGTTGAAAAGACTGGAGAGAAGAGAGTGGAGTGGTGATGTGCTACTGAGATGCTATGTTTCACTAGGAACCTAAGGGACAAATAATAATTACAATAATAATATAGGCTGTACACAGTGGTGGGTTGTTCAACGTCGAAGTGACCACCCCCCAACACTACTCAATAAAGATGAATTTACACCAGTAAAATGTTTCACCCTACAACATTTAATTGACAGTGAACACACAATTTCAGAAAGTTTATGTCATGTAATCTATGGAAATAAGAAAGATATTTTGATAGGTGCGAGTAAACGTTCATTATGCATGATTATAGCTTTATCATTAAGGAAGTTCAAGCCAAAATTGTGTATTTCAAAGCATATTCTCTCTTTGTTTTACTTCGTAATGCAAATTCCTAAACTTAACTAATTCTTCTTGTCTTCCACATTCTGAACTAGTAGGTGACAGTAATAATTTATTTAAGCGTAATTCTACAGATTCTTAGAATGACGACACTGGGAAAAGAGTTTGTTTATTGACAGCCTTCTTCTTTCTTGACTCAAGAGAGACACTCAAATTTCTTAAAAGCCCATTGCCTTTGCCTGCATCTATACATTGGTATGTTATACAAACCCTACTTATCAGAGCCTTCAAGGAGCTGGAAATTGTCGTAAAAGCCTATATAAGATTAGTGTGCTTAAGAAATTTAATCAAGTTTCTTTATGCCAAAAATAATTCTTTAAATTATTAATAAGGCTTAGCGCAATATGTCAAGAATCAGTAGGTCAACTGTCAACATATAAGTAAAGTTGTACTGTGCGCAGCTTTTAGTAGATCCTTAAGTCATATTAACCATACGTCTCTGATCCAGTATCGAACGGTTAGTGATATCTTGATGACCTAAAGACTTACGCTCAATGTTATAGTGTGTATTGATCGGTCACGACAGTGCAACCAATTTCATGTTGTCTAGTCCTGAGTGCAGACCAAATCCTATCGATCATATTTGCATTGTGGCAACCAAGCTAGGAAGCTGAGCATCGCGGTGCACATTAGTAGATGTTAGTTGGTTGGAGGTAATCGGCAGGAAGCCCTGGACCTAGGTTTCGTGCCTTTTGGCACTCGTCAGCAAGGTGTATCTGCAACCTCGACGGAACTAATGTCCCTCCTGAGATTCGAACCCGCGTCAGCTAGTGTTGTAGTCAGAGACTTTACCACTGAGCTATTCGGATAGCGATTCACCTCCTGTAGGACTGGCTTACATGTATTGATTGGTCACCGGAGTGCGACTAATTTCATGTTTAGTCCTTAGTGCAGACGGAATTCTATCAATCAATACATGTAAGCCAGTCCTACAGGAGGTGAATCGCTATCCGAATAGCTCAGTGGTAAAGTCTCTGACTACAACACTAGCTGACGCGGGTTCGAATCTCAGGAGGGACATTAGTTCCGTCGAGGTTGCAGATACACCTTGCTGACGAGTGCCAAAAGGCACGAAACCTAGGTCCAGGGCTTCCTGCCGATTACCTTCAAACAACTAGTGTTATGGCGTTCTGTGATAAAATATATCAGAATGGTGCTATCAATGTTTATAGGGGGAATTACATGTAACATCAAATGATCAGACTGTCATACTAGTACAAGGTGGTTTCATTCCTAATTGCTTTACCGGTTTTTCTGAGTCGATCCTCTATCTTTAGACTGAGGCGTTGTTCACATAGTATCAAGAAGTATATGATAGTGGAAAACATCAATGTTCCTATGCCTAGTTAACAAATCTAACCATGGATTACTCGTTATCCTAAGAGAAGGTAGACTATGTCTTGCTGGGAATTAAAATTTCAGAGTGTTGAGAAGTCTCACTGTGCGTCAACATTGGTACTTAGTAACTTTTACGTCTAGACTCTCTATTCAATAAATTACTGTTATAGTGGGAAAAAATTTTCGAAATAATATCCTTTCTTCGGACATTTTGGATGCATTTAATTGGTCACATCATTGGATAACTTTGAGTGTGTTATATTTCCTGTTAAATCAATAATATCATAACATTACCATTATTAACAGTAAAAAGCAATACATCAGTAGAAAACTTACATTCTTATGTAATAATTTCAAGATAAGTGTCCTTAAATTATCTAATAATGCATTAATACGATCACGACGTTTCCTTTCAGTCATTTGTTTAGCCATTCGACGATCGTGTTTGGCAGAATTATCACATTTTTTAGTCTTTTCAGTGTTTTCATTCAACTGATTATTTATTGACCACTTATGTTGCTGTGTAACTGATGTAGATGGAGGCGATAAAGATGATGTACATAAGAATCCAGATGGAGACACATTTGTCTGCTTACTTATTAACATTTGTAAATTTTTCACATTCCCTATCTTCTCTTCTCTTGACTGTTCCACTTCATCATAATGTTTTCTTGTTCCTCATTTGAATCAAACAACGAAAATGATATTTCATTTAAATCTGAGTCGGATGTATTTGGACTATAATTTACGTGTGACATGATGTTAGCTACAAATCGGAAAATAACTGCTCAGAATTTCCATTCATGAATGATGATTTTTAGTACTTAAAAATAGCATTGGCTCGTAGAATGATGCTGATTGGTTCATGTTTTCTGCACAGTGATTGGTCGCCATCGCTAATAAAACAGGGTTTATTCCCATAACCATTGGTCACTTCATCTTTTATGCATTCACTGGATTCGGTTTTCATTTATTAGCTATGATTTACTGCGATTCAAAACCACCTGAGTAGTATAACTGTACACTTCAATGACTAGGTTCGATAACAATGATTACTGTTTTTTGAAGCTGACCAAATTAAAGACCTATTTCTTGACAAGATGAAACAGTATTTGCGGTATCTCTTATACGACCCAAATTACGCCATTTACAAAATGAGATTTCATTGTAGTTTTGACTACAGATTGACGTTAACTGGAGAAACACGGAAGACGTATGAGCAATGGACAGCTTTCCAACTTATTTCGAGACCACTTAGAAGTGCGTACCTATGACGGTCACGTCTAGTGGACAGCATGCGACCATTAAATCACTGGAACGGAATCCAGTTCGCGATATAGCACCACCATCATTTGTATCAGTCGGATGCCTGTTCTCACGGCCAACTTGGTTGACCCCACAGGTCATTACTTCTCGTTAGAACATCGAGAAATCTGTCTACAAGTAAGTCACTAATGAGCCCTGGATCGTAATTCAGTTAGGAGCTGTGAGTATTACTTAGTTTTAAAAGTAGTTTCATTAGCGAGTCATATATATACCCGGCCGCGGGTGAATCCACTAAATATTCACACCGCACCAGGTTCTGAAACATAGGCATGCTTACAGACGCCCGACAATAGCTGTATTTCTCGACCTGAAGGCGGCATTCGACTCTGTTGATCGAGAAGTCTTGTGCCAATGTCTCTCACTGAAAGGTGTGCCAAGTAAGTACATCACCCTATTGAAGGCTTTCTACTCGAACACTTGTGAGCGTGTTAGAGCCTATGGTGAGATGTCCAGGGAGCTATGCTCATCGAGTGGTGTCCGTCAAGGATGCCCATTGTCTCCATTCTTATTCAATTTCATCATAGATATTCTCATGGAGGTCTCCCTCTCGTCACCTGATTACATAGATGTTGACCTAATAGCAGGAGAACTTTCATTAGACCTAGAACATGCAGATGATATAGTCCTGTTAAGTGAAGATGCAGAGTCTTCTGAACACTTTGAGTGGGAATTTGAGAATGTTTGGGATGCGTTTCTCACCACTCAGACTGTTGCTCCAGGATTGGTCTTCAGCAGTGCCACGGCTAACAATATGGAGTGTAGTGATTGAGTGTGTCGACCATTTCACTTACCTGAGAAGCAGAAGCAGCCCTGGTGGCTCAGCGGCTGATGAAATCTCTACACAAATAGAAAAGGCTCGGTTGGCTTTTGCCAACTTACACCAACTATGGCACCACCGTGATATCCGGTTGTCTATCAAGGGTTGCGTATACTGCACAACAGTCCGCTGTGTCTTACTCTATGGCTGTGAAACATGGGCATTGAAGGTGGAAGACGTGAGAAGGCTTCAGGTGTTTGACCACCGTTTCCTTCGTAGTATAGGCCGTATTCCGTGGTGTCATCACGTGAGCATCGCAGACGTCAGGTGTAGAGTTTTAGGGAGTAGAGGTAAATCTGTTGACGAAGTTATGAACCTTCATAGATTGAGATGGTTAGGACACTTATTACGTATGCCTAGTCGCCGATTGCCTAGTCACACAATGTTGGCTGAAGTAGGTCCAGGCTGGAAAAAGGCCCGAGGCTGTCAGACTAAAACATGACATCAATGTGTGAAGTGTTTGACTGTTGGTTTGAGCTATGTGGGGCGATGCAGACTGGGTCGTTGGGGTCGGTGTCACTAGAGAAATCAGTGGTTGGAGACTCTAGGTGATATGGCTCAGAACCGATGTGAGTGGCGCAGATGCATACACACACACATACATTATCCTCATCTTAACGACACTATATAGAATTTCACCATTTTCTCATTCTTCCTTTCTCTCTTTTCGTACTTTATGTTTCTTTTGACTGAACTTTCTTATCTTTACCTTGCAACTCACTGCCTTTTTACTTGATGTAGTGATATGAGGTGTGGCAATTCGGACCATTAAGCAGTAATGCCTCGTCCGATGTTGATATTGACGATGATGATATATATGACTTCTGTTCTTTCACATATGACAGCAGTTTCATCGAAAGATGCTGCAAATGTCAGCTGTTAAGTTGCTGTCTAGTTTAACTTGCACCACTGCAAAGTTAGATAGTTACACTCTGTTTTAAATCAGTTAGAAGTTGGTAAACTGTTTTCCAACCATATTTTTATGAAAATAATTAATTGTTATTGTATCTTCGTAATATGGAATTTTGAATTCGTAGTTCGTACTAATTAAGAACAAAATTCTACTACCAACTCTGGAAGACAGAAAATTGTAACTGCTGTACATAAATTCATACAATTCAGGAATCCTAAACAGTTGCATAAAGCAGTTTACGGACATCTTAAGCAATACTAAACACACAGTAGTAAATACTTGCATTAACAGTCATTTAGTCAGAGTAGTACTTCAAAAGGAGGCCGATAGGAATTTAATATCAGACGTATTGGCATGGACCAGGGTCAATCTTTTAGAATGCTATCAAACAGGGATATAAGTACTTTTAGTGAACTCAGTTTGGCATCCAGGCTAAATAACCACTAGTATAATAACATGGTAATACCCTTCACCAAATTAAACAGTTATTCTAAGATGTTTTTGTGGCTAAAACAGCATCATGTGTTGGATGAACAACCGTTCTTCACAATAGCCTAGACTTATTGAATCCATTCACCAATAATAATAGTAATAATGATAATAACAATAATAGCTTTATTCCAAACAGGACTTTTAGTACAGTATAGAATTCTCAACATGCAGTAGTTCAAAAAATCCATGCTGGGAACTATATCTTTAATCAAAATAATCATTTCATTTGACTAGTGTTAATAATAACGGTAACAAAAGCCACAATGTCAAACAGGCACCTAGTGTTACATTAGCATCATCATTAGCAGATCGCCATCACTGTTTATCGTTCACTTCAATAGCAACAATCCGTAATGGGAAAACCGATGACAGACAGACAAAATTAACGTGGAACCTCGCGCACAAGTTGCCAATTCTGACAACAACTCTCCATAAGCGTTGACACAGCTACCGCTTCAATAAGTATTATATACTTCCTCGGTACTCACCACACAGTCAGACACTGACACAGCACCCCATGGTCAACTGAGTCAAATACAGCCTTCATGTCCAGAAATATGGCGAGTATCGGTGGCTAGTAGGTATGCCTGTGTTCCAGAACCTGTCACAAGGCGAAAAAATGATCAATTCACTCTTCTTCAGGTCTGAAACCTGCCGGAGTTTACTGTGCCTCAGAAACAGTTAGTCTTCGGAAAATTATCGACAATAGGATATTATTGTAATTATTATTTGTCCCTCAGTTCCTAGTGAAACATAGCGTCTCAGTAGCACATCACCACTCCACTCTCTTCTCTCCAGTCTTTTCAACCTGGATCCATGACTGACCACAACCCTTCATTTCTTACTCACACCATCTCCTCCATGTCACTCTCGCCTCACCTCACCTCACCTCGCCTCGCTTCAGGCGCCCAACTCGTCATCTCCCATTCGCGTTCCACTCGACAGTCTGACCTGGAGTGTGATGTCCTCAATCGGTTTCCCCAGTGTATATCCAGCCCAATCCACCTCCACTTTCTCCTGCATATTTGATGGGTGATAGGTTCTTGGTTGGTTGGTTGGTTCGTTCATTCATTGCTAGTCAGTCAGTCAGCCACCAAGTCAGCCAGCTAGCTAGCCAGCCAGTCAGAGTGACCTCCTTCTTGCTTATTCTTATTATTCTGGTCATCTGATCTTCAGTGTCAGTCTCAGTATCGAGTGAGTGTAGGAGGCAGCTGCTGCTGAGATGAATGTCTGCAGTTTGTTGGAAATGCTTTTTGTGACACGACAAGTCTCTCAACCATCATCACATAGAAGCACTGACTTACTCGACTGAAGAATTAGTGTTGGAAATCCGGATATTGTTCACGCTTTATGCTGAGTGGAGTGAGTTCTATGCAGCGCAGTGTAATGCAGTAGATCTCCACACTGATCATTTCAGATTAGTGCAGGAATGCCTGTCTTGTTGTCTTTCGATCCTGTTTTTGACATCGTCATCTGTGTGCGTGTGCTGCTTAGGTAGGCTGGTAGGTGAAAGAGACAACTTCCTTCAAATTTCTCCTGCTGATGGTGATTGGTGCTCGTTGTTGTTAGTTGGTTATCTTCATCACCTCTGTCTTCTCTTCGTTCACCTGAAATCTCGTTTTCACTACCTCGCCTCACCTCTTCTTCCAACTTGTTGGTTTTTGCCTGTAGATCTTCGAGTTTGTGCGACACGAAATTAGACACAAATCATCATTGGTGGCGAAATCCAAATCTTCTAGGGTCTTTTCATCTATCGAACAGCATATTCTCCTCTTCTCACCCCTCACAGTTTGATGCATCATCCGGTCCAGTCGACCACAATCAAAAAGCTGATCTGTAGGCTTTTCTTACTCCTATCTTCACTTCAAAGGCGTCCCTGAGCTTTCCATTGTGTATCACTTCGCATGTGACGTTTTCATATAGTTGTTGGATGAGGTTGATAAAGATTTCTGGCATTATAACCGTAGAGTTGAAGCAGTTGCCAAATTACTTCTTGGTTGACGCTATTTAGGGCTTTATCAAAGTCGATGAATTTGAGGTAAAGTTGAGATGATTGCCATTCTATACTCTGTTCTATGATGACGCGTAGCTTAGTGTTGCAATTTGAGCCGCACATGACTTTTTCTTCCTGAAGTCAGCCAGCCAACCAGCCTGTTCTGTTCTCAATTTTGAATGCAGAGCATTTTCGAGTCCCTCCAGTATGATGCGGCTTAATATTTTGCTTGGGGTGGACAGGAGAGTGACTCCGCGCCAGT